AAGTGGTTTCCTTGCGAAGCTTGGTGCAATAATGGCCATAAAAAATGCTAGTTTGAAATAGAGATTTTCCAAAAGATTTTCTGTAAATTAAATTTTAAGTAATTTTCTAAAGTTACTTACAAGTCTTATTTTTCTTTTGATTTTATAAGTTTATAATTTGAGATTTGTGAATTCTATATGCGTTTCCTATTAATAATAACATTTTAAATTGGTTGCTAGTAAAAATAATTTTGTACTTTTATAATAAATCTTTATAACATAACAATATTCATAAATAATAAAATATTATAACATTAATATACTATAATAAATTTTATCTAAAAACACGGTAGTGTCTAAAATATGGCGTGAGACACTGCCGTTCCTTTATGCGCCGAATCGAAATTATCGGATCTCAATACTGTCTTAAGTACACTTAATCGATAACTTACTCGATTGCATTATACGTGCTTTTATTTTTTCTCTACGTGCCTTACAAGTGGATATATTGTGACGCAAAGTCCGCATCTGCCACTTTTCAGATTCAGATACGTCGTCTGTTATTATATTTATTAATTAAACAGAAATGAAATAACTAAAGGAGATCGGATGCAAACGAAATTGCTGGTATTTGTTGCGTGATACTAGTACAAACATTTTTCAAAAACAGTAAAAAAAGGTGCTAAGAATATGCTTCTCGAATAGAACCTAAGTGATACGTACCGTTATGTATCTTTTTAATTTAACTAACCATGTTAAATTTTATTAAATCAAAAAGTAAAACCCAAGTGTACTATTTTTGTTATTTACTTAGGGGATCCTAAAGCGAAGTTCGAACTCCGACGAAATCACTAGAGGTCACTGTTTTTCCAGCACACTGACATGTCTATATACTACCACACCAATATCACACGCAACCTATGATACATGCAGTCGCATGTTCAATTTTTGTATAACAAATTCATCGCTAAATCTAATTTTAAGGCCTCCACGATATTTATTCGTGCAAACTACGTGTTTGTGGATTACGTAAGTATAGGATGCAAAACTTTCGTATCAAGCAAATGTTGTCACAATTTGACAGCTTGAGACGCCATGTTACACTAAGAAATGGTAAAAAATCTATCAATTTCAAAATTTTTGGCGTAAACTCCATTTCACAAATACGTATTAATGCGTATATTTTAATTCTGAAAAAGAATTTTCAAATCTGTGAAAAAAAAGTATTTGTTATACAAACATTATATGATTTAGTCGGTAATACAGACAGCTTTAGGTGATCCTAAAGCCTCCTATTTTACCAAGTAAGTACGTATAATTTTTATATCAGAAATACTTTTTTTTTTCACCGATTTGAAAATCTTTTTCCAGGATTAAAGAATACCCAGCAAATTTAATAATGTAATACATATATCTTAAATACATAATATTAAGTATCACAAAATAACCAATTATATAGCAAGCAACATACATGTGTGTTATATAGTATGTACTACTAAATGTCAGCAACAAAAGTATTTCTCTGATTTATTTAAGACATGCATCAAAATACTTTAAATGTTCTGTTTATGATATGTAATACAACTTAATATAATGATGTAACATATACATTTTAAAAATAAAGGAAATATATATTTTAAGGAATATATACATTTTAAATACATTAAAAGTAACGTATTTATGTTCAGATTAAATATGGTTAATAGCCCAATTAATGACAAGTCCAAAATACTGGCAATCCAATTTTAATTAGATATATATGCTTTTTAAAATGTATACTTATATGTATGTATTTTATTACACTTGCAAAATTTAATAAATAATATTTTAATTATCACACATATAAAATCTAATACGTAATATAGGAAATATAAATATAGGAAAAAGCAC